CCACAAACAAACATTACATTTTTATTTATATAGATAGTTATCATTCCCCTTTCCTCTTGGAGTGGAACCAAGGACAAGGCGTCCGAGTATTGTGCGATAGATCTGGACTTCTCCCCGTGTTTGCACCCCTGATGAGCTCTTTTTCTCTTGCTCCTTGAGTATATTAGATTTTGGAATAGGTCCCATCCATCCATCCATCCCTGGAGGAAGGTGGGCGTCCCTTTCGTCACACAGCTGAGCGAGAAAGACAAAAGCTTTCCTGACTCAGTCCCATTATTATGCACTAACTTGGGTGACTCACCTTGCACAAAAAGACTTTAAAAGACAGCAAAAGGAGGAGGAGGAGGAAAGGAAACGGGTTGCTGTCTCTTGTGTTTTTCTTCTCCTTGCTATGCTTAGTTTGACAACAGCTTCCAGAATCCCCCTTGGAGCAGGTATATTTGTTTGCCTTCTGGCAAGGAAACTAGTCCAATGTGGGCTAGGCAAAGCTACGGTGAGGTGGATCTGGAATTGGTTAAATGGACGAACCCAGAGGGTGATTCTCCCCAAGGCTTCCTCTTCATCCTGGAAAGAAGTGACGAGTGGAGTGCCGTCCTGGGCCCGGTCCTGTTCAACATCTTTATTAATTGTGGGAGTTGGAGTCCCAAACACCTGGAGGGCCCAAGTTTGCCCATGCCCAAATGGTAGAGCCTTGGAATCGATTTTGGACTGCAACACTCAATATCCCCCAACAAGAAGCATTTCTCTGTACTACTACTCTTGGAATATGCTTTTGGATTACCAAGCCCAGATGAAGGGTTAGAAGGCAGGATCATCAAGGTTGCAGATGACACCAAATTGGGAGGGATAGCCAAGACTCCAGAGGACAGGAGCAGAATTCAAAATGACCTTGACAGATTAGAGAGATGAATGGCCAAAACTAACAAAATGAAGTTCAACAGGGACAAATTCAAGATACTCCACTTTGGCAGGAAAAACGAAATGCAAAGATACAGAATGGGGATGCCTGGCTCGAGAGCAGTACGTGTGAAAAAGATCTTGGAGTCCTCGTGGACAACAAGTTAAACATGAGCCAACAATGTGATGTGGCGGCAAAAAAAGCCAATGGGATTTTGGCCTGCATCAAGAGGAGCCTAGTGTCTAGATCTAGGGAAGTCCTGCTCCCCATGCTCTATTCCGCTTTGGTGAGACCACACCACCTGGAATATGGTGTCCCATTCTGGGCACCACAATTCAAGAGAGATATTGACTCTAAGCTGGAATACTGTGTCCAGAGGAGGGCGACTCAAATGATCAAGGGTCTGGAGAACAAGCCCTATGAGGAGCGGCTTAAGGAGCTGGGCATGTTTAGCCTGAAGAAGAGAAGGCTGAGAGGAGATATGATAGCCATGTATAAATATGTGAGAGGAAGCCACAGGGAGGAGGGAGCAAGCTTGTTTGCTGCTTCCATGGAGATTAGGACAAGGAACAATGGCTTCAAACTACAAGAAAGGAGATTCCATCTGAACAATGAGGAAGAACTTCCTGACTGTGAGAGCCGTTCAGCAGTGGAACTCTCTGCCCGGAGTGTGGTGGAGGCTCCTTCTTTGGAAGCTTTTAAACAGAGGCTGGATGGCCATCTGTCAGGGGTGATTTGAATGCAATGTTCCTGCTTCTTGGCAGAATGGGGTTGGACTGGATGGCCCATGAGGTCTCTTTCAATTCTTTGATTCTATGATTCTATGAGACTAGGATTCAAGTCCTTGATGGAAACTCACTGTCTGGCTTTGAGACAAGTCACATTTTCTCATCCTCAGAATAAAGGAAAGATTCATATACACTCACTTACTTGCTTATGCGATTCCCTCGTTGTCTGAGTAAGATTGTCCTCCAAGTTCGGTGTCCTGGCGGTGTGTCCGTAGGTGACTGTGGAGCCCTATTCTTGACCCACATGTTCTCCTGCAGTGAGGACATTGGTTTCCAGGTAGAAGGCTTGGTGTGCCTTCCTCTTGGCACATTTCTCTCTTTTGCCCTCCATTCATGCCTCTACAAATTCTGGTCACAGCTGACCTCCAGCTGGAGCGCTCAAGGGCCAGGGCTTCCCAGTTCTCAGTGTTTATGTCAGAGTTTTAAAGTTTGGCATTGAGCCCATCTTTAAATCTCTTTTCCTGCCCACCAACATTCCATTTTCTGCGTGGTTTGTTATAATGTGCCTTCAAATGAATGCCCTGTTCGTAGACTTACTATCACAGATCTCTGCATGGACACCCACCTTCTGAGAAGATTTTACAGGATCTAGGGCAGGCATGAGCCAACTTCGGCCCTCCAGGTATTTTGGACTTCAACTCTCACAATTCCTAACAGCCTACTGGGAGTTGAAGTCTAAAACACCTGGAGGGTCGAAGATGGCCCTTACTGAGGTGATCCCTTGTTGTCCAAGTAGGATAGTCTTGCAAGATTAGTGTACTGGTGGTCAGTCCGTAGGTGATTGTGGAGCCCTATTCTTGACCTGCATGTTGTCCCGCAATGAGGGCATCGGTTTCCAGGTGGAAAGCAGTCCCGGTTGGGGTTGGCTTGATGTGCCTTCCTCTTGGCACGTTTCTCTCTTTCGCGCTCCATTTGTGCCTCTTCAAATTCTACAGCATTGCTGGTCACAGCTGACCTCCAGCTGGAGCGCTCAAGGGCCAGGGCTTCCCAGTTCTCAGTGTCTATGCCAGAGATTTTAAGGTTGGCTTTGAGCCCATCTTTAAATCTCTTTTCCTGCCCACCAAGATTCCATTTTCCATTCTTGAGTTCGGAGTAGAGCAACTGCTTTGGGAGATGGTGGTCAGGCATTCCGACAATGTGGCTGGTCCAGTGGAGTTGATAGTGGAGGACCATCGCTTCAATGCTGGTGGTCTTTGCTTCTTCCAGCACACTGACGTTTGTCCGCCTGTCTTCCCAAGAGATTTGCAGGATTTTCCGGAGGCAGCGCTGATGGAATCGTTCTAGGAGTTGCATGTGACATCTGTAGACAGTCCACGTCTCACAGGCATATAGCAGGGTTGGGACTACAATAGCTTCATAAACAAGTACCTTGGTATCCCTACGGATGTCCCTGTCATACCTCACCTTCCCATGGGTAAAATTGTTCTGCCCCAAACCCCAGAGGCTACAAGAGGCAGTTATCCAGGTTAAAACTATTGCTTTCCATAGGATCTTACGGTTCTGCATCAAAGCCCATAGGATACAAGAGACTTCTGACGGTTGGGGAATGAAACAGGATGGGAAGCTTTGATGGTTTCCATCCCACCTGTTTTTCCGTTATAAACATAAGAGTAAAACGTGGTAAGAGACAGGAGCTATGAGGGCAATAGCTTTATAGACAAGCACCTTGGTCTCCCTACGGATGTCCCGGTCCTCAAACACTCTCTGCTTCATTCGGAAAAATGCTGCGCTTGCAGAGCTCAGGCGGTGTTGTATTTCAGTGTCAATGTTGACTTTGGTGGAGAGGGGGTTGCCAAGGGAACGGAAATGGCCAACATTTTCTAATGTTACACCATTAAGCTGTATCTCTGGCATTGGAGAGGGGTTGGCTGGTGATGCTGGATCAGCACTTTGGTTTTCTCAATGTTCAATGACAGGCTGAGCTTCCCGTATGCTCCTGTGAAGGAGTTTAGAGTGGCTTGTAGGTTTGCTTCTGAATGCACACAGACGACGTTGTCATCAGCATACTGGAGTTCTATAACAGATGTTGTTGTAACCTTGGTTTTGGCTTTGAGTCTGCTGAGGTTAAACAGCTTGCCATCTGTCCGATAGATGATTTCCACTCCGGTGGGAAGCTTCCCATCAATAAGGTGAAGTATCATAGCGATGAAGATGGAGAATATTTATTATTTATTATTATTTATTAACTTTATTTATACCCCGCAAAATCTCCCGAAGGACTCGATGCAGCTTACAAAGGCCAAGGCCGCCAACAAACAATAACATACACATACACAATAAAAGTCATAAGCAAATAAAAACATCAATCAAAGCATTAGAACAATAAAAACAATGACACAGTGACGCATTTAAAACCAAGGGCCGGGCCAAATGTAATAGACAAAATTTGAAAGTGCTAGACATGACAAGTGATATGTAGAGGTATTTGGAGGTAGGTGCAATGTGCAAATAATCCTGAATCTCTAACAAAGTGCATTTGGGACTTGATGCCAGGAGTTTCCTATTCTGGAAAGGCACACTGGAACAGCCAGGTCTTCAGGCTCTTCCTAAAGACAGCCAACATTGAGGCTTGTCTGATGTCCTTGGGGAGAGAGTTCAAGAGTCGGGGGGCCACCACAGAGAAGGCCCTGTCCCTCGTCCCCACCAAACGCGCCTGTGACGCAGGTGGGATTGTGAGCAGGGCCTCTCCAGATGATCGAAGGGAACGCATAGGTTCATATATGGAGATGTGATCACACAGGTATGCAATCACACAGGTAGGATGTGTTATTGCCCCAATAAAGTTGGGGCAATAACACATCCCTGTTTGACACCGGATTCCACCTTAAATGGGTCACTTGGGGAGCCATTGCTGTCCAGGACTGTTGCCATCATGTCATCATGGAGGAGCCGCAGGATGTTCACAAATTTTTCAGGGTACCCGATTTTTTGGAGGATGGTCCAGAGAGCACTGCAATTCACTGCGTCGAATGCCTTTGCAAGGTCGATGAATGCCATGGACAGAGGTCCATAGACAATGGAGGACCTCCTTGTAGCCACACCAGAGGCCCTCCAAGTGACCAGCTCCTAGTCAAAGGACATTTCATAGAATGCCAAGTTTGCAAACTTTGTAGTTTTGTCTACATTATAACTGCATTCTCAATAGAAAGGGGATTCTGGGCTGGTCCAGACCCAAATCCCAAGGGAGTGAGGCTGGTGAGGGGATGCTGGGCTGGGCGGTGGAAAGGCTGGGAGCCCCAAGGAGGGCGGCCCAATCCCGAGGTCCTGGGCGGAGTGGGAGGGTCTGGTCCGGCTTCCCTCCGCCTCCTGAAGGGTTTGGGCCAAGTCCCACTCGGGAAAGGAATCGCGAGGGGAGCCGTAGCATGTCGGAAGAAGAAGAAGAAGCAGAAGGAGGACGAAGAGGAGGAGGAGGGGACCGGCCTCGCGAGGTAGGCAGGCACCAGTGCGTCTACACTGGGGAATAAACCCACTTTGAGACCCCCTTTTCAAAAAACTTGGGGGGAAAGAAAGATGGCAGGGAGCCTAAGGTTGTCAATGCGTATTAGACAACAGGGACAAGGAGGAGAGACCAGAGGGAAGAGACAAGGCATGGCATGGACCAACTTGGGCTTTTCGTCCTTCCAGGGGTTTTGGACTCCAACTCCCCTAACAGCCTCGGCCCTTTCCTTTTCCCCCTCAGCCCCTTAAGCGGCTGAGGGGGAAAAGGAAGGGGCCTGAGGCTGTTAGGAATGGTGGAAATTGGAGTCCAAAACACCTGGAGGGCCCAAGTTTGCGCAAGCCTGATCTATACCAAGGAAAGGGCCTGAGGCTGTTAGGAATTGTGGGAGTTGGAGTCCAAAACACCTGGAGGGAGGGCCCAAGTTGGCCCATGCCTTCGTTAAATCAACCCCTTAGAAGAGGTATGGATACATGCATATAATATAATAAGAAAACATATGGGGATTCCACGTATCACGTGTAAACATTTCACTTATATATATATTTAAATGTATATGATTTGTTGCATATTTTGCATAGACTCTGAGGTTTTCTCTTTATGTTTGCAAGTTCTGCAAGTTCTGCTGCAGAATGAATGCAGGCAATCCCAGGAGTTATAGGGCTTGTTCTCAAGGGTCTGGAGAACAAGCCCTATGAGGAGCGGCTTAAAGAGCTGGGCATGTTTAGGCTGAAGAAGAGAAGGCTGAGAGGAGACATGATAGCCATGTATGCAAGGACTTTAAGGTCGCCTGGAGAGGCCCTGCTCTCAGTCCCGCCATCATCACAAGTACGGTTGGTGGGAACGAGAGACAGGGCCTTCTCAGTGGTGGCCCCTCAGCTATGAAACACCCTTCCTAGAGAGATTAGATCAGCTTCCTCGCTCCTATCATTCCAGAAGAATCTTAAGACATGGCTATTTGAGCGGGCATTTGAAAATACGGAGTAACGGATATAATAATGGAATAACTATATGACATTGTTTTAATGATTATCAATTGAAGTATGATTCATTATAATGTTTGATGTTATTGTTGCTGATGTTTTTTATATTGTATATTGTAATTGTGTCCTTGGTGGCATTGAATTCTTGCCTTGTAAACCGCCTCGAGTCGCTGGAAGGCTGAGAGAGGCGGTATAGAAATGTACTAAATAAATAAATAATAAATCTTAAAAACTCTGGCATAGATACTTAAGAACTGGGAAGCCCTGGTCCCTGAGTGCTCCAGCTGGAGATCAGCTGTTACCAGCAGTGCTGTAGTGTTTGAAGAGGCACAAATCAAATCTCTTGGGAAGACAAGCGGACAAATGTCACCATGCTGGAAGAAGCAAAGACCACCAGCATTGAAGCCATGGTCCTCCGCCATCAACTCTGCTGGACCAGCCACGTTGTCCGGATGCCCAATCACCGTCTCCCAAAGTAGTTGCTCTACTCCAAGCTCAAAAACAGAAAATGGAATGTTGGAGGACAGGAAAAGAGATTTAAAGATGGGCTCAAAGCCAAATTTAAAAATTCTGGCATAGACACTTAAGAACTGGGAAGCCCAGGCCCTTGAGCGCTCCAGCTGGAGGTCAGCTGTGATCAGAAGTGCTGTAGAATTTGAAGAGGCACGAATGGAGGGTGAAAGAGAGAAACGTGCCAAGAGGAAGGCATGTTAAGCCAACTCTGAGCAGTACCGCCTTCTACCTGGAAACCAATGTCCTCACTGTGGGAGAAGATGCAGGTCAAGAACAGGGCTCCACAGCCACCTACGGACCCACGAGGATACTGATCTTGGAAGACTATGCTACTCGGACAACGAGGGATCGCCTAAATAAGTAACTAAGTAAGCCCTGTATAAATATGTGAGAGGAAGTCATAGGGAGGAGGGAGCGAACTTGTTTTCTGCTTCCCTGGAGACTAGGACGCAATGGAACAATGGCTTCGAACCAGAAGAAAGGAGATTCCACCTGAACATTAGGAAGAACTTCCTGACTGCGAGAGCTGTTCAGCAGTGGAACTCTCTGCCCCAAAATGTGGTGAAGGCTCCTTCTTTGGAGGCTTTTAAACAGAAGCTGGATGGCCATCTGTCGAGGGTGCTTTGAATGAAGTTTTCCTGCTTCTCTTCCAACTCTAGGATTCTATGATCCTAGGACCTAGGCACACAGAAGACTGGGCGAATTGGAAGGTGCTGAACAGGCTGCGCTCTGGCACCACGAGATGCAGAGCAGTGACGCTTGAGTGGTGATGGCACGATCGTCAGCATAGATGAAACTCTCTGCGCTCTGGCACCACGAGATACAGAGCCAACCATAAGAAATGGGGCCACAAAGTGGAGTCCACGACATGCGAGTGTGGAGAGGAGCAAACCACAGAACACTTACTACAATGTAGTCTGAACCCTGCCACATCCACAATGGAGGACCTTAGAATCATAGAATCAAAGAGTTGAAGAGACCTCATGGGCCACCCAGTCCAACCCCCTGCCAAGAAGCAGAAATATTGCATTCAAATCACCCCTGACAGATGGCCATCCAGCCTCTGTTTAAAAGCTTCCAAAGATGGAGCCTCCACCACACTCTGGGGCAGAGAGTTCCACCGCTGAACGGCTCTCACAGTCAGGAAGTTCTTCCTCGTGTTCAGATGGAATCTTCTCTCTTGTAGGACACCAGTGACACCAGTGACACCAAAAGCTTCTGGTCAAAGGAAATCTAGCATCGTGCCAAGTTTTTAACTTGGTTTGTGTATTTAAATATATTATAACTCTATTCTCAATTTGCTTCTGATATGCTTAATAAATAACCCCTATATGGCTGATAATAATGCTTTAAATTGTTTTTAACTTAGTGTTTTATTTACTGTTTTAAATTGTTGTTGTATTTCTTATAATTGTTTATAGGTTGTGGCATCGAATCATTGCCAGTGTAAACTGCTCTGAGTCTCCCCTCGGGGGTTGAGAAGGGCGGGGTAGAAATGTTGGAAATAATAAATAAATATATGGAATTGCCCCCGAGTCCTGTACAGTCTCCTTCTCTGGAAGCTTTTAAACAGAGGCTTGGATGGCCATCTGTCGGGAGGGATCGGATTGTGTTTTCCTGCATCACAGAAGAGGGTTTCTTCCAGCTCTGGGAATGTAGAAATCCTGTGTCTGGTTCCAGGAAAACAAATAAATATTTGGAATTGCTTCCGAGTCCAGTGGAGTCTCCTTCTCTGGAAGTTTTTAAACTGAGGCTTGCATGGCCATCTGTCGAGAGGGATCGGATTGTGTTTTCCTGCATCGCAGAAGGGGGTTTCTTCCAGCACTGGGAATGTACAAATCCTGTGTCTGGTTCCGGACAACTAAATAAATATTTGGAAATGCTTCCAGTTCCAGTGGAGACTCCTTCTCTGGAAGATATTAAACAGAGGCTTGGATGGCCATCTGTCGGGAGGGATCGGATTGTGTTTTCCTGCATCACAGAAGAGGGTTTCTTCCAGCTCTGGGAATGTAAGAATCCTGTGTCTGGTTCTAGGCAAATAAGTAAATATTCGGAATTGCTTCCAAGTCCAGTGGTGTCTCCTTCTCTGGAAGTTTTTAAACACAAGCTTGGATGGCCATCTGTCGGGAGGGATCACATTGTGTTTTCCTACATCGCAGAAGGGGATTTCTTCCAGCCTTGGGAATGTAAGAATCCTGTGTCTGGTTCTGGACAAATCAATAAATATTTGGAATTGCCTCCGAGTCCAGTGGAGTCTCCTTCTCTGGAAGTTTGTAAACAGAGAAGGAGACTCCTCTGTTTACAATGACCATCTCTGTTTGGATGACCATCTGTCGGGAGGGCTTGGATTGTGTTTCCCTGCATTGCAGAATGGGGTTTCTTCCAGCCCTGGGAATGTAAGAATCCTGTGTCTGGTTCCAGGCAAATAAGTAAATATTCGGAATTGCTTCCAAGTCCAGTGGTGTCTCCTTCTCTGGAAGTTTTTAAACACAAGCTTGGATGGCCATCTGTCGGGAGGGATCACATTGTGTTTTCCTACATCGCAGAAGGGGATTTCTTCCAGCCTTGGGAATGTAAGAATCCTGAGTCCGGTTTCGGACATCAATCACATTTCAGGGAGTCGATTCGCAAGCTGGACAGTGCTTGAGAAGGGAGGCCCAAATGGTCAAAGGTTTGGAAAGCAGGGATCCCTTTGAGGAGGGGCTTAAGGAGTTGGGTTGCCTGCAGTAAACTTTGTCCTCTCCAAAAGCTGAGCTCTCACCAGCCATGCAAGAAGGAGAGGGTTAAAAACTATACTCCAAAATGCTTTTGCCAGCTGTCTGTGCCGCTCAGAAAGGCAACCCAAGCCGGCTGCCTCTTCCATGGCCTCTGCCCTGCTTGGACCAATGCCCTGTCAAGAACGGCTACTGACCGGCACCAAAGAACTTGCCAAGTGGGTGAAACCTAGTAGGAAGGCTGTCGGTCAATGTGCCCCATGTCTCTCTTCTCTTTCCTTCGGTTGAGGTTGGCTTGATGCACCTTCCTCTTGGGTCGTTTCTCTCTTTCGCCCTCCATTCTTCAAATTCTACAGCACTGCTGGTCACAGCTGACCTCCAGCTGGAGCGCTCAGGGGCCCGGGCTTCCCGGTTCTCAGTGTCTATGCCAGAGTTTTAAAAGTTGGCTTTGAGCCCATCTTTAAATCTCTTTCCATGTCCATCAACAGCCCATTTTCTGTTCTTGAGTTCGGAGTAGAGCAACTGCTTTGGGAGATAGCGACTAGGCATTCAGACAACGTGACCAGTGGAGTTGATGGCGGGGGACCATCACTTCAGTGCTGGTGGTCTTTGCTTCTTCCAGCATGCTGACATTTGTCCACTTCCCAAGAGATTTGCAGAATTCGTGCCTCATCAAATTCTACAGCACTGCTGGTCACAGCTGACCTCCAGCTGGAGCGCTCAAGGGCCAGGGCTTCCCGGTTCTCGGTGTCTATGTCAGAGTTTTTAAGCTTGGCTTTGAGCCCATCTTTAAATCTCTTTTCCTGTCCTCCAACATTCTGTTTTCCATTCTTGAGCTCGGAGTAGAGCAACTGCTTTGGGAGACGATGGTCAGGCATCTGGACAATGTGACCGGTCCAGTGGAGTTGATGGCGGAGGACCATCGCTTCAATGCTGGTGGTCTTTGCTTCTTCCAGCATGCTGACATTTGTCCACTTCCCAAGAGATTTTCAGGATTCGTGCCTCATCAAATTCTACAGCACTGCTGGCCACAGCTGACCTCCAGCTGGAGCGCTCAAGGACCAGGGCTTCCCAGTTCTCGGTGTCTATGTCAGAGTTTTAAGGTTGGCTTTGAGCCCATCTTTAAATCTTTTTTCCTGTCCACCAATATTTCATTAATGGCATCACTGATTGAGGAGGTTCCAAGCACAATTCAAAGTGCTGGTTTTAACATACAAAATCCTTTATGGTTCGGCCCATATGTAACTATGTAACACAATTTGAAAAATATATATATATTCCTGGTTTGAAAGTGTTTATATCCCATTTAATTGTGCAGTACTTATTGTGAAAGTAGTTCCTGTACTCCAGTAACTTTGTTTTTGCAACCACAAACTATGTTGCATTGGTTGAGACCTGATGAGATACTAACTGAAAAACTATCGCAAAATGTGCTATAGTGGGATGTCCCACCAAACCAAAGTTTTTGCAGTTTACTCAACTTTCCCCATGTTTTGATGATTGAACCAATGAGGAAATGACATTTATAACCCAGGACCAAAAATCGTGTTACTTAGTGAAATAGCCACTACCTGGTTGACCAGCTTTCTTGTTCTTGTAGTGTGCTCTCATGTTGTTTCTAATCCATTGCAACCCTAAGACAAACTTATTGCAAAGTTTTCTTGGCAACGATTGATTTAGAAGGGCTTTGTTCTTTGCTCTTGCCTTTGTCTGAGGGTGAGAGAGTGTGACTTGTCCAAGTTTACCTATTGGGTTGATTGGCAGAATGGAGATTTGTATAGTCCAACATAAGGAGCCCCTGGTAGCGCAGTAGGTTAAACCGCTAATCTGCTGAACTTGCTGACTGAAAGGTCAGCAGTCCGAGTCCAGGGAGCAGGGTGAGCTCCCACTGTCAGCCCCAGCTTCCGCCAACCTAGTAGTTCAAAAACACGCAAATGTGAGTAGATCAATAGGTACCGCTCCGGCAGGAAGGTAATGGTGCTCCATGCAGTCATGCTGGCCACTTGACCTTGGAGGTGTCTATGGACAACGCTGGCTCTTTGGCTTAGAAATGGAGGTAAACACCACACTCCAGAGTCGGATACGACTGGACTTAATGTCAGGGGGAAACCTTATTTATTTATTTACTGTATTTTATTTAATTTATTATTTATTTACTGTATTTGTATACTGCCATTCTCAGCCAATTGGTGACTCAAAGCGGTTTCCAATTTTAACCTTTACCTATAGTCCAACATTTTTCTAGTTTTGGCTCTTGCCCTGCTTTTTGTGGAGTCAGCCTGCTCCCTTCCTCACCTGCCTGTGTCACCTGTGCAGGTAAAGGCGGCCTTGCCGTTGTCCCGAAAGCTCTGCTATGCCATAGGAGGTGCTCCCTACCAGCTCACAGGCAACGCCCTGGGCTTCTTCTTCCAAATCTTCCTGCTGGACGTTGTGCAGGTGAGCGGAGACTACTGCCCTTGACCTTTGCTTGCATGACTGCCCTTGGGAGAGGGATCCCCAGGGGCGGCTCATCCATTACACAAAGTAAGCGGTCGCAGAACACATTTTTTTGCCAGGGGTGCAGAGGCGCCTCTGTAAATACCCCTCGGCCGCCACTTGAGGAGCGCCCCCTCAGCTCACAACAGTCCGGGGGGAGCCTCGGCTTTCTTGCCTCACTACCAGGCGATCCTCTTCCCAAAGGGGCCGGGCCCTTGAGCCTCGCCTAGCCCCTCTCGTTCCTGCTCCACCCGGCCACCGGTGTCGCAAGCAGAGCCGGCGCTCAATCGTTCTCGCGTTCGATCCCTTTCCCATGACCGGCTCCCTTTCCCGATCCCCAGCGCTCCACCCGCCTCCTCTCCTCTCCCCAATCGGGGTGGGCCAAGGGGCAGCCGCCACGCCTGGCCCGCTTTGGGTCCGGAGGCGTGTCTGAAGACCCCAGTGTGCACCAAAAGTCGCCTCTTCTCCTGACTTTCTCTTCAGCCATTGGGACCAAGAGAGAGAGAGAGAGAGAGCCCCTCCGGCTGGAGGTATCTCCCACCTCCGCTCCCTCCTTTGTTTTTGCGCCCACCTTCAGGAAAGGTGGGCATCTCCACCTCTCTCTCTCTCTCTCTCTTCTCCCAATGGCTGAGGAGAAAGTCAGGAGAAGAGGTGACTTTTGGTGCACACGGCGGTGTCTTCAGGCACGCCTCCGGACCCAAGGCAAGGGAGCAAGTGCGGCAAGTGTAGTTACTGGGATGTATAGTTCACCTACAATCAAAGAGCATTCTGAACTCCACCAATGATGGAATTGAACCAAATATGGCACACAGAACTCCCACAAGGAACAGAAAATAGATATCAGTGATTGGTTGGGGGGGAGGGAGGGCCAAAATACTGTTTGCTTACCATTGAAAATTACCTAGGGCCGCCTCTGGGGATCCCCAGTCCTATCCCAGATGGCAACCCAATTCTGCCTCTTCCTTTAACCCGATCCAGCTTGAGCCATTCCATGCGTCGCTCATCCTTTTCCTCGGGAGAGCCTGGGACGCCGTGGCGGATCCTGTGGTTGGGGCCCTGGTCAGCAGGAGCCCTTGGCGGAGATGGGGAAAACTGACCCCCTGGTGAGTGCGGTCCAAAGGGATCACTGGGAGGGAACTGTGATGGTGGCATTTTGGAATCCTGGAAGGGGAGTGCATACTTTCCAAGTTAGTCTTCCGCCATCCCATGATCGCATTGCACTGGAAGAGGGCATTGCTAGGCCCTCCAGTTCCACTCCATAATTAACCTCCGGCAGAAGAATATATAGTAAAATATTCTGGAGGATCTAGAAAATGCCTAGAGAAGATATATTGGGTCAGAAGCAGATACATCAGAGTTTTCCAAACTTTTCATCTGGACGACATGCTTTTTAGACAGGTGTCATTTCGCAACATGGTAATTCGGTTTTACAAATCTATATAAATAAAAATGTAATGTTCTTTTGTGGTATTCACAGAACTCAAAAACCACTGGATGAATTGACACCAAATTTGGACATAAGACACCTAACAACCCAATGTATGTCCTTCACTCATAAAATTTGCTTTTGTCATTTGGGAGTTGTAGTTGCTGGGATTTATAGTTCACTTACCATCAAAGAACATTCTGAATGCCACCAACGATGGAATTGAACCAAACTTGGCACACAGTTCTCCCATGACCAACAGAAAATACTGAAAGGGTTTGGTGGGCAGTGTCCTTTAGTTTTGGAGTTGTAGTTTGCCTACATCCAGAGATCACTGTGGAATCAAACAATGATGGATCTGGACCAAACTCTACACAAATACTCAATATGTCCAAATGTGAGCACCAGTGGAGTTTGGGGGAAATAAAATCTTGACATTTGGGAGTTGTAGTTGCTGGGATTTATAGTTCACCTACAATCACAGAGCATTCTGAACCCCACCAACGATAGAATTGAACCTCACCTATGATAGAATTGGGACAAACCTCCCATGTGGGCCACAGCAATGTGTGGCAGGGGACGGCTAGTCTATATAAATAAAAATGTAATGTTCATTTGTGGGATTAATACAACTCAAAAACCATTGGACAAATTGACACCAAATTTGGACACAATACAACTATCAGGCCAATGAGTGACCATCACTCATTAAAACACCGAAAAACACAGTGGAAGAGACTTTAAAAGCCAAAAAATAATAATACATTATGACACATGCAGAAACCACATATATACACATATACACAAATATATACACACAAAAACACATATACATGAACTGGGCCACAGTAACGCGTGGCAGGGATGGCTAGTCTATATAAATAAAAATGTAATGTTCATTTGTGGGATTAACATAACTCAAAAACCACTGGATAAATTGCCACCAAATTTGGACAGCGTACACCTAACAACCCAATGTATGTCCTTCACTCAACATTTTTTGATTTTGTCATTTGGGAGTTGTAGGTGCTGGGATTTATAGTTCACCTACAATCAAAGAGAATTCTGAACTCCACCAACTATGGAATTGAACCAAATGTGGCACACAGAACTCTCATGACCAACAGAAAAGGGTTTGGTGGGCGTTGACCTTGAGTTTGGGAGATGTAGTTCACCTACATCTAGAGAGCACTGTTGACTGAAACAATGATGGGTCTGGACCAAACTTGGCACAAATATTCCATATGCCCAAATATGAACACAGATGGAGTTTGGGGGAAATAGACCTTGACATTTGGGAATTGTAGTTACTGGGATTTATAGTTCACCAACAACCAAAGATCATTCTGAACCCCACCAATGACAGAATTGGGGCAAACGTCCCACACAGAACCCCCATGACCAACAGAAAATACTTAAGGCCATCCAGTCCAACTCCCTTCACCAGGGCAAGAAAACGTAATCAAAGCCCTCCTGACGAAGAGCCATACAGCCATAGATATAGATAGATATATATGATGCACACACAGAGAGATATAGTATCATAGATTTGAAAGAGACCCATGAAGAAGGACAATGATATGTTGCATGTTCCAGAGTAGGCAAAGCAGACAATCTCCACATCAACACTGACAAAGAAACAGCAAGAAAAACTGTTTCCTTACGAGCATAAAGAAATTGCATATATTAGAAACCAAAACTTTCTCATTACTTTATTTTCCAGATCATCAGACTGGGCCACAGCAATGCATGGCAGGGGACGGCTAGTTCCTTATAAGAATATCCAACAATACATATGTAGGTTCTTGTGGGTTTTTTCGGGCTATAGAGCCATGTTCTAGAGGCATTTCTCCTGACGTTTTGCCTGCATCTATGGCAAGCATCCTCAGAGGTAGTGAGGATACATATGTATACACACACACACACACTAGATGGCCCATGTGGTCTTGTCAACTATATTATTCTATGACTAGCTGTGTTTTGTTTGTGTATAGGTGTGTGTATATATTTGTGTATATGTGTGTTTGCATATATACTGTATATGTGGTTTTCCGCATGCGTTGTAATGTAATATTCCTAAATAGGTTCAGCACCATGGATAACTCTTGTAGAGCTCTCCAAAAGCTGGGAATTGATTCATTGTCCTGCTGCTATGAGAGCTGGCAGTTACTTGGACCTTCTTGGCTAGGAATGATGGGAGATGTTGTCCAGTATCCCAGAAAGGGTGCATATTGAGAAATTCGTTTTGGTGGAAACAACAAACCTTGGTTGAAGGTGCATCCAAACCAGGCATGGGCAAACTTGGGCCCTCCAGGTGTTTTGGACTTCAACTCCCACCATTCCTAACAGCCGGTAGGCTGTTAGGAATGGTGGGAGTTGAAGTCCAAAACACCTGGAGGGCCCAAGTTTGCCCATGCCTGGCTTAATATGCAAAAGTCTCACAAACAAATATTCTTGTTCCAGGACTATTTCGGCCATGCCGTTTGGGGTCTTCTTCTACATCATGCTCTGGTTCATCCCTTCCGATTCCTTCTCGGCGTCGCTGAGGTTCTTTTGGCACCTGACCATGTACTGCTTCTTCCAGACATCGATGAGTGTAAGGACTTGAATATTGTTCTACCATTCCTTCATTTATTCATTCTTGAATTCCTCCTGGATTTTCTGTGTTAGCTTACCTGTCTCAAAGTCCAAAGTGAGGTCAAGGCAGTGTTTCTCAACCTTCCTAATGCCGCAACCCCTTAATACAATTCCTCATGTTGTGGTGACCCCCAACCATAACATTATTTTCGTTGCTCCATCCAGAGAACACTGTGGACTCAAACAATGATGGATCTGGACCAAACTTGACAGGAATACTCAATATGCCCAAATGTGAACATTGGTGGAGTTTGGGGAAAATAGAATCTTGACATTTAAGACTTGTAGTTGCTGGGATTTATAGTTCACCTACAATCAAGAGCATTCTGAACCCCACCAATGGTAGAACTGGGCCAAACTTGGCACACAGAACTCCAATGACCAACAGGAAATACTGAAAGTATTTGGTGGGCATTGACCTTGAGTTTTGGAGGTGTAGTTCACCTACATCTAGAGAGCACTGTGGACTCAAACTATGATGGATCTGGACCAAACTTGGCACCTGCATCTGGCAAAGCATCCTCAGAGGTGTGAGAAGGACCGTCTCACCTTCACTTATAATCAAATGAACTCCACCAGCGATGGAATTGGGCCAAACTTGGCACACAGAACTCCCATGACCAACAGAAAATACTGGAAGGGTTTGGTGGGCATTGACCTTGAGTTTTGGAGTTGTAGTTCGCCTACATTTAGAGAGCACTGTGGACTCAAACAATGATGGATCTGGACCAAACTTGGCATGGGTATTCAATATGTCCAAATGTGAACACTGGTGGAGTTTGGGGAAAATAGGCCTTTACATTTGGGAGTTGTAGTTGCTGGGATTTATAGTTCACCTACAATCAAAGCGCATTCTGAACCCCCACCAATGATAGAATTGGGCCAAACTTCCCACACAGAACCCCATGACCAACAGAAAATTCTGTGTTTTCTGGTGGTCTTTGGTGACCCTTCTGAACACCCCCCTTGGTGACCCCCCCCCCCGAGTCTCAACCCCCGGGCTGATAAACGCTGTGTTACAGTATAGATAAAATATTTTTTTTCTATTTAATACACTGTTGGCAGTGTGCATGCTTAACTTTACTATATAGTGTCACACTGTGATTTGTATCTACTTGTAATACCAGGGGGTGTCCAAAGTTTGTGGTAATAGGGTCTTCACTGACTAGATCTGTCCCAGATTGCTTTAAACCAGACAGACATACACCTGTACCTCTTTATCTTTAGCAGACTATTTTCTTCTCTTTGTGCTCTTTGTTTTCAGCCCAGTGCCTTGTTTGGCAGTGTAGCAGCATTGTGCAACAGTATGATGTTTGGGCAGCATCACAGGCAAGCATCGTTGAACATCTCAAAGGCATCAAGCAAGAATTAGGTGCCAGAATGGGTTGGATGTCTCTTTTTGGGTAACACCTGTCTGATGGGTCTCTTTCTTCCTCTGCTCTCCTCTCCTTAGTGCTATCATGTTCCCTATTCCTCGTTGACCATGTTCCTGGGGGGCAGTCAGGCAGACCGGGACTCTGCTACATCCTACCGTAAGTCTCTTTGCATGGTTGTTATGCTTTGGTGAAGCCCATGTGCTACAAGGAGGTTCAATACTCGGCACCTCTGATTCAAGTACGGGGAAGAATGATCAACCCAAGGGTGAAATTTCTATTTGGAATGAGACTGGAGGGAGCAATTCCAGCCCTGGAAAAAGAAATTGGGAGCATTTGATCATAACTCATCTATGTGCTGAAAGGGAATACACCTCCAATGCAAGAGGTATGCATGCAAGCTCCAAAGCAAAGTTATTCCTCCATGCAGCATTATTTTTGGTCTGCAAATCAGAACTCCTATTCTGTGCAACAGCTTTCCATGCAAAAGCTTATTTTCCTGCAAAGCACAGCTTTTGCTCCAGGCAACAGCTTTCTGGGCTGCAAAAACAAAACAAAACAAACTCTTGTCCCATGCAAAACCATATCTGTTTAGAAAATCAGTCTCTTGTTAGAATAACAGTGCTCTGATTGTGTCATGCAGAAGGCATTTGGGTGAAAATTCACTGTGATTCCCTCCTTCAACATCTCTCATGTTGAATCACGTTCCGGGAGTAAATTTCTGTCCACACCTAGGATCCGAAAGTTGGAAGAGACCCAAAGGGCAATTCAGGTTTCTGGAGGGGACAGTATTCTGGTGTTTTATAACATGGGTGTTTGAAAAAGACCTTCAGGGCTTTCCAGGGCAACCTCCTCCTGATATGCAAGAACACACAATCTAAGCCCTCCCGACAGATGGCCATCTGGCTTTCTGGAGGAGACAGGATTCTGGTGTCTTATAGCATTAAAGAAACATGGGTGTTTGAAAAAGACCTTCAGGGCCCTCCAGGGAAAACTCCTCTTGATATGCAAGAATGCACAATCCAAGCCCTCCTAACAGAGGGGCATCTAGGCTTTGTCTAAAAACCTTCAGAAAAGGAGACCAGGATTTCTCTTCTCCAGAGCAAACATACCTAGCTCCCAAAGCCACCCTTCAGAGGGTTTCAAGGCTTCCATACTTTCTAAAAAAATAGGTAAAGGTTTCCTCTTGAGATTTAGTCCAGTCGTATCTGATCCTGGGGGTTGGTGCTCATCTCCATTTCTAAGTCGAAGAGCCGGCGTTGTCCATAGACACCTCCAAGGTCAAGTGGCCAACATGACTGCATGGAGAGCCGTTACCTTCCCGCTGAAGCAGTACCTATTGATCTATTCACATCTGCATGTTTTCGAACTGCTAGGTTGGCAGAAGCTGGGGCTGACAGCAGGAGCTCACCCTGCTTCCCAGATTTGAACCACTGACCTTTCGGTCAGCAAGTTCAGCAGCTCAGAGGTTTAACCCACTGCACCACCAGGGACACCTCCATACTTTCTAGCAGGTTAATATTTCTCTTGAAGTGTAGTACTTGGAACTGGATGCAGGATTTGTAGAATCCTAAAATCCTAGAAATGGAATAGACCCCATGGCTACTTCCCAGAATGATTCCTGGTTCCCTGACTCTTGGTCATTTTATTCTCCCATTTCGGGACACCTTCTAGCTGGTCCATATCCTTCTAGAACAGGGGTTCTCAACCTGGGGTCCCCAGATGTTTTTGGCCTACAACTCCCAGAAATCCCAGCCAGTTTACCAGCTGTTAGGACTTCTGGGAGTTGAAGGCCAAAAACATCTGGGGACCCACAGGTTGAGAACCACTGTTCTAGAATGATGGTGCCTGGAACTGGACACAGGGTTCCTCTCCTCTTTGTTTGTTTTTGGTCCTGACAGGGATGGCTGTCGAAGTGCTGAGCACGCTTGTGGGGTCGAGCATCCAGGGCCAAATTGTGGGCGGCCACCATAGCATCATGCGCAAAGGCTGCAGTGTGGACAACGGCACCCTTGGAAGCAACACCACGCTGCTCCTGGAAAACCTAGAGAATACAGTAAGAGCTGTCTGTTATTTTACCACTTGACTCCCAGAATCCCCTTTTCAGTGTGCGTGCTGATAGCAATGGGGTGGAAGTGAGGCACAATGAGAGCATTTCTTCCCTCCAATAAGACTCCCACCCTACAGGAAATGCTCTTTCAGTCTCCAAATTCCTAATGTTTTGGCAGTCTTAATATAATAACAAATTATGCCACATTACACCTTGAGCACCTCTTATGTGTCATTCTGAAACGTTCCCAAATTGTTAAGATGTGTCGCTGAGCTACTCACTCTGCTGCTTTCTGATGGTTCCATGTTCACAAGCTTTGTGTCATGCAAAAATCATCAAAACTGCAATAATGTATATAAATAAAAAAGTAATGTTCGTTTGTGGGATTAACAGAACTCAAAAACCACTGGATTAATTGGCACCAAATTTGGACACAAGACACTGAACAACCCAATGTATGTCCTTCACTCAAAAAATTTGGATTTTGTCATTTGGGAGTTGTAGTTGCTGGGATATATAGTTCACCCACAATCGAAGCGCATTCTGAACCCCACCAACGATGGAATTGAACCAAACTTGGCACACAGTCTCCCATGACCAACAGAAAATACTGAAAGGGTTTGGTGGGCATTGACCTTGAGTTTTGGAGTTGTAGTTCACCTACATCCAGAGAGCACTGTGGATTCAAACAATGATAGATCTGGACCAAATTGAGCACAAATACGCAATATGCCCAAGTGTGAAGACTGGTGGAATTTTGTGGAAAATAGACCTTGACATTTGGGAGTTGTAGTTGCTGGGATTTATAGTTCACCTACAATCAAAGAGCATTCTGAACCCCACAAATGACAGAATTGGGCCAAACCTCCCACACAGAACCCCCATGTGGGCCACAGCAACACGTGGCAGGGGACAGCTAGTAAATAATAATAATACATATTATTTATATTTCTCTCCATCTCCCCAAGGGGACTCAGAGCGGATTACAGTATACACATATATAGGTAGACATGCGATGCCTCTTAGACAGTAAATAACAATCTATCTATGTATATAATAAAGGTGAAAGTTTGTATGCGGCGGACAAAAGTGTGGCGGTGCGACGGGAGGAGTATGTGCCAGCGTTTTGATTGGCCAGCCTGAAAGTTCCAACATTCTGATTGGCTGCCGCAGTGGTGCTATTTGCATATGGTCTCTGATTGGCCAGCTTCAATAGGAGCCCCTGGTGGAGAAAAGGGTTCATGACAGAAACGGGACATGAGAGAAGGAAATTTGCATATGGTCTCTGATTGGCCAGCCTCAATTCCAAGATTCCGAGATGACAAAGAGAGGAAAGGAAAAGGCCAGGGGCTGAGTCAGAAAATTACCAATACAGACCACACTTGGCACACAGAGCCTGCAAGACCGACTCGACATCCTACTGCAACCATGGATGATGGGACTTGCAGTACCATCACTCACATTCTGAGACCGCTGTTAACCTCATCCAATGACTGATCAGGACCAAACTTGGCACATAGACCTCTCATGACCCACTTTACATCCTGGTGTGGTTTGGCGGGGGATGGACCATGAATTATGGGACTTGCAGTACCTTTGCTCAATTCTTGAGACCACTGCAACGCTCATCCAATTACCGATAAAGACCAAACTTGGCACACTGAGTCTCCATGACGCACTCTACATCCTGGTGCAGTTTGGAGGAGGATGCACCATGGACGATGGGACTTGCAATACCTGCACTCCCTTCCTAAGACATTTACAACTGCCAACTATGATGGATCAGGACCACAATTAACACAGAGAGCCCGCATGAGCCACTCTACATCCTGGTGCGGTTTGGAAGAATTTGACAATGGATGATGGGACTTGCAGTCACTTCACTCACTTCCTGAGACCACTGAGACCCTTGCCAATGACTGATCAAGACCAAATTTGGCACAGAGAGTCCCCATGACCCACTCTACATCCTGGTGTACTTTCAATGAGGACAGACCATGGATGATAGGACTTAAGTACCTCCAATCTCTTCCCAAGACTGCTGAAACCCTCATCTAATGTCCGAACAAAACCAAACTTGGCACACAGAGCCCCCATGACCCACTCTACATCCCGATGCTGTTTGGAGGAGGGTTGACCATAGATGATGGGACTTGCAGTACCTTTACTCACTTACTGAAACCACTGTGACCCTGAACCAATGACTGATAAAGACTAAAATTAGCACACAGAGCCTCCATGACCCACTTTCTATAACAACCCAGGCAGCGCCGGGTCCCCAAGCTAGTGATATATAATACATAAAGGCAAAAGCTTCCCTTTCCATTTCCGGCATCTGGAGGCGATGCTCAACTCTGGCCATGGGGAGGTGCTCTTGTTCCATTTTCCATGCCAAGGAGACTGTTGTCCATGGGCGCCTTTTACCTTTCCGCTGAGGCAGTATCCATTGATACACTCACATTGCATGTTTTCGAACTGCTATGTTGGCAGAAGCTAGGTCTAACAGTGGGAGCTTACCCTGACCTGCAGCTTTGAACTGCCAATGTTCCAGTTGGCACGTTTTCTGCAGCTAGTAGTTTAACTCACTGTGCTACCACAGCTACAGTTGTATGTCAGCCTGTTCAGCCTGTGATTGTGTCTGATGTTCATGTTGATGTTTATGATGGGAATGGGGATGGTGTTCCTGGGGATGGTGGTTTGCTTGGGCCTGGGCTAAGTTCAGAAGAAATGCCTGAGCTGTTTCAAGAAGATTCACAAGGCCACATTCCTGGGAGGGACCTTTCACCACTTTTCTCAGAGCAACTGTCTGAAAATGATCCTGAGATTGATTTGCCAAGTGCAGGAGCTAATGAGGGAGAGGATAGTGAAACCTTAGACAGGAAGCAAAGTTTTAGTAAACAGAGGCAGAGCTTTCAGAGATTGATCACTTCATCTACAGCAAAAGAAAGGTAACAAAGACAAGAAAAATGCTTTCCTTTCAGTTTTGAGTTTTGGAAAAGATTTATAATGATTCATGGGAATGAGTTGCCTCAGTTGAAGCAAAGTTGTCATTTTATCACTGTCTTGTTTTCAAGTCTTCTGAGTTTCATGTATCAATTTTTTGCCAAGCTTAAGCTTTGCCTATGGGATTTTCCTGCTGTTTTGTTTCATGGTTTCAAGTGCCTTGCTTCATGGATTTTTATATACTCATGGATGTTGTTCCCCTTTGAAAGTTATGAACTATTTTGAACTTTGTGCCTTGACTGTTTTGCTATTTTTACTGCTTTGCCTACACATATTCTACAATAAACTGCTTGTTGATTTTGCCAAGCTGGTGTGGTGTTTAAGGTCAGGGGTGTTCCTGCTCTGGTGTACAACAATTGCAACTATCAGAAGGCTTATGTATAAGGTATATGAAACATAAATCAATGAGCCGTTCAGCAGTGGAACTCTCTGCCCCTGAGTGTGGTGGAGGCTCCTTCTTTGGAAGCCTTTAAACAGAGGCTGGATGGCCATCTGTCAGGGGTGATTTGAATGCAATATTCCTGCTTCTTGGCAGAATGGGGTTGGACTGGATGGCCCATGAGGTCTCTTCCAACTCTTTGATTCTATGATTCTATGAATGTTGTGTTTAGGCCCAGGTCCCATCGCTTATTACACTATGTAATACGATTTTTGTTCCTTGGTTGTAAATGTCATTTCCTAATTGGTTCTGTCATTAAAAACATGGAAAATGTTTATTAAACTGCAAAAACTTTGCTTTTGTGGGACATCTTGAAGCACATTTTGCTATAGTTTATCAATGACTATCTCATCAAGTCTCAACCAATTCAACCTAGTTTGTGTCTGACACAAAAACAAAGTTTCTGGAATACAATAACTACTTTCGAGGTAAGGATTGCATAATTAAACAGGAAATAATACTTTCAAACCAGGAACAGAAAACATTTCAAATTTTGTTGTATAGCATTATGTATGTATGTATGTGCAAATACAAGTATTTCAGGTCCCAAGAATTTTGGATAAAGGAATAATTACACATGTAAAATCAATCATACAATTGGGTTGTTGTAGGCTTTTTGGGCTATATGGCCATGTTCTAGAAGCATTCTCTCCTGATGTTTCGCCTGCATCTATGGCAAGCATCCTCAGAGGTTATACAGAGATTGATAGGGTTGGGAACCCTATCAATCATACAATTGATGGAGCCCCCGGTGGCGCAGTGGGTTAAACCCCTGTGCTGGCAGGACTGAAGACCGACAGGTTGCAGGTTCAAATCCGGGGAGAGGCGGATGAGTTCGCTCTATCAGCTCCAGCTCCTCATGTGGGGACATGAGAAAAGCCTCCAAAAAGGATGATAAAACATCAAATCATCCAGACGTCCCCTGGGCAACGTCCTTGCAGACGGCCAATTCTCTCACACCAGGATTCACTCCTGACACGACCAAATCAAAATACAATTGATAGGGTTCCCAAAGGTCACTTAATTCAGCCCCAGGAAATGCAGGAATCCATGGCTAAAATGTCCCTTAGGGCTGGCTGTGTATTTAAAATGGATAGAGCAAGGAGAGTAAAATTTCCCCTTCTTCTTTCATACTGCAAATTCTAAATGGTTTCACTTGGTGAAACAAGCTCAAAAGCCAAGGAGTGCTGAGTTCAAATCCCTCTCTCCCCAGCTTTAGGTCAGAGCCTGACATCTGTAACCAAACAGAAAGGAGAATGAGGTTCTCCGCTTCTCACCTGCTTGGAAACAAACCCTTTCTGCTTCATTTTGCACCCATTTTTCAGCGCAGGGCCTACCTGATTGCCTCCTTTGTGCTCAGCTCCATATTTTGCTTCTCCTGCTTCGTCCTCGTCTTAGGAGTGAAAGAACATCCAGGTAAACCTACTATCCATTCATTAGTCTGCTTTTCATATATTTGAAAGCCTTGGTGTTATTCTAGCACAGGCTTGTGCCAACTTGGGCCCTCCAGGTGTTTTGGACTTCAACTCCCACAATTCCTAACAGTCAGTTGGCCCAGGCCTGTTCTAACATTTAGGAAACAGATCACAACATGTACAGGGATTTTACCCCAAGGGAAAGCTGCCCATCACATATGTGGTTCCACTCTAGCAACACCATGATCGGTATCTGCCATAAGCATCTGGTGCTGCCTATGCTGTAAATGAAAGCACTGTAAATGAAATTTAAGAAGCGTGAAGTTGTTTCATAGCTAAAAACACAGCAAAAGGTCTCAAATATTTATTTTAAATTTTGCACTTTTACACTGAGCAAGTAAAGTGGTGGCTCTGCTCCGGATTTTAGTCTGAACTTTAAAGAAGTTGCCCAAGGTGCTGGGCCTGTTTTGGGGATAGGCTTGTACACCTTGGATAGGTACTTCAAAGTCTACCTTCCACCATTGGTTACTGTTCTCAGTGGCCAAGGAATTTTGATTGTTATCCTCCCAAAAAGTAGCACTTTCATGCCTTAGCTTGAAAATAACTACAAATGGTAGTTATTTCAAGCTACAAATAACCCTATTTCAAAAGACTGTGTAAACATTTTGGAAGGAAATGTAGAGATTAGAAGTTGATGCAGATCCACTTCGCCCATCCTGACTTTCCTTCTCTTCTTCTCCAGATCAGTCCAGCTCTTTGGAGAAGACCAGGCGCTCTTTCTTTGGCAATCTGCGCATGCTCCTGGGCCACAGACCTTACAACCGCCTCCTCTGTGGGTTCTTGCTGGCTTCGCTAGCTATTCAGGTGACTGCATCTTCTGTGGGTGGGAGATTTATTTATTTATCTATCTATCTATCGTGTCAGCAGTAACCAGACATTTGTATTACATTTTAAACAAAACAAACAGACAAAACACAAAGTTTGCAAGCTTGGTAGTTGATTAAATGTCCTTTGACCAGTATCTGGCCACTTGGAGTGCCTCTGGTGTTGCCGCAAGGAGGTCCTCCATTGTGCATGTGGCAGGGCTCAGGTTGCATTGCAGCAGGTGGTCAGTGGTTTGCTCTTCTCCACACTCACATGTCATGGATTCCACTTTGTAGCCCCATTTCTTAAGGTTGGCTCTGCATCTCGTGGTGCCAGAGCGCAGTCTGTTCAGCGCCTTCCAAGTCGCCCAGTCTTCTGTGTGCCCAGGGGGGAGTCTCTCATTTGGTATCAGCCATTGATTGAGGTTCTGGGTTTGAGCCTGCCATTTTTGGACTCTCGCTTGCTGAGGTGTTCCGGCGAGTGTCTCTGTAGATCTTAGAAAGCTATGTCTTGATTTAAGTTGTTGACATGCTGGCTGATACCCAAACAAGGAGATGTCACTGCCTTGGTCCTTTCGCTATTGGCTGCTACTTCCGGCGGATGTCAGGTGGTGCAATACCGGCTAAGCAGTGTAATTTCTCCAGTGGTGTAGGGCGCAGACACCCCGTGATAATGTGGCATGTCTCATTAAGAGCCACATCCACTGTTTTAGCATGGTGAGATGTGTTCCACACTGGGCATGCATACTCAGCAGCAGAGTAGCACAGCGCAAGGGCAGATGTCTTCACTGTATCTGGTTGTGATCCCCAGGTTGTGCCAGTCAGCTTTCATATGATATTGTTTCTAGCGCCCACTTTTGCTTGATATCCAGGGTGGGAGATGGAAGCACAGCACAACAGGACCCTTGAGTAGGAAGGGACCCCCAAGGATCGTCCAGTCCAACCACATTCTTCCAGGCAGGAAAACATAATCAAAGCACTCCTGGCAGATTTTAAAAACTATTAAATAAACACTATGGTTCCATGGCAACACCCTAGGACAGGGGTAGGGAACCTTTGGCCCTCCAGCTGTGGTGGACTTCAACTCCCACAATTCCTTGAGGCTCGGCATTGGGCCAAGGTAAGCCTTTGGGGCGAATGCTGAGCCTCAAGGAATTGTGGGAGTTGAAGTCCACCACAGCTGGAGGGCCAAAGGTTCCCTACCCCTGCCCTAGGATTTGCAGTTCAGTGATGAAGGGAACTTACGGCCATTCCACACAGCCGTATAACCCAGAATATCAAGACAGATAATCCGCAATATCTGCTTTGAACTGGATTATCTGAGTCCACACTGCCATATAATCCAGTTCAGTGTGGATTTAATAAAGCTGTGTGGAAGGGGCCTTAGAGGTTTCATTGCTGGCTAGCATCTTTGCATGTCTTTGGTATTCTTGGGCATTTACTCCTCTTTGCAAGGCATAGGCTGATCCTCTTTCCTTTGCCCATGACAGCTGATCCAGGGAATCTTTGCCCTCTTCTGCACTCATGCATCTGGATTGGCTGGGCGGTTCCAACACCTTGTGCTTATCATGCTAGTAAGTACCACCTCCTTTTCCTCACCATGAACCCTATTAATGTAGTGCACCATGGGTGTTGTAGTGGGAAGCAACTAAACCTGTGCAATGTGATCAGTGCAAAAGACATGCAGAGATGCTAGCCGTCTGTACCAACAGGTTCTGCATCCAACGACAAAGTGCATCTTCACTGTGGAATTAATGCAGTTTGACTCCACTTTAACTGCCATGGCTCAATGCTGTGGAGTCCTGGGAGATGTCATTTGGTGAGGCACCAGCACTTTGTAGCAGAGAAGGTGAAAGACCTTGCAAAACGACAACTCTCAGGATTTCGTAGCATTGAGTCATGCCAGTTTGAATCCCTTCTCCACTGCCATATAAAATCCAGATTATCTGCTTTGGATTGGATTATATGGCAGTGTAGAAGGGACCTGAAGAAGTCTTGTTGATAAGCTTGTCATAGTATCACTATATGTCAGAAATGACTTGAAGGCACACAACAACAACAACAACAACAACAGCACCACCAACAACAACAGCAACAAGGGAGTAAAGAGTGAACTAGCTGAGGCTCTTGTGTTTCTTCCACAGCTTGGGAGCCACCACTAAGGATGCATCTACACTGTAGAATTACTGCAGTTTGACACCACTTTAATCACCATGGCTGTATGCTATAGAATCCCAAGAATTGTAGTTTTACAAGGTCACAGGCTTCTGTGCCAAAGAGCATTGGTTCCTCACCAAATTACAACTCCTAGGACTCATGTGGCATTGAACTGCATTGATTCTATAGTGTAGATGCACCCAAAACAAGACTTGTACCAATAGCAAAACTGTGAGAGACCCATAATCTCAAAATCTCCATATCTGAGCAGGCTTTAAGTAAGAGATGCAATCTTTCAGATAGTCTGGACATAAACTGAAAAAGTGCACAGGATCCAAACCTTGAACCAGTGTTTGGCTGCTGTGTCGGAGTGGATGAGAGCTAACAAATTGAAGTTGAATCCAGACAAGACGGAGGTCCTACTGGTCAGTCGAAAGGCCGAACAGGGTATAGGGTTACAGTCTGTGTTGGATGGGGTTACATTCCCCCTGAAGACACAGGTTCACAGCTTGGGAGTGATCCTGGACTCATCGCTGAGCCTGGAAGCCCAGGTCTCGGCTGTGGCCGGGAGAGCTTTTGCACAATTAAAACTTGTGCGCCAGCTGCGCCCGTACCTCGGGAAGTCGGATCTGGCCACGGTGGTCCACGCTCTTGTCACATCCCAAATAGATTACTGCAATGCGCTCTATGTGGGATTGCCTTTGAAGACTATTCGGAAACTGCAATTAGTCAAACAAGCGGCAGCTAGATTACTCACTGGAGTGTCATTCAGTGAGCATACAACCCCCCTGTTGTGTCAGCTCCACTGCTTGCCGATCCAATTCCGAGCACAATTCAAAGTGCTGGTTTTGACCTATAAAACCCTATACGGCTCCGGTCCAGCGTACCTGTCCAAACGTATCTCCTTCTACGTCCCACCTCGGAGCTTAAGATCCTCTGGGGAGGCCCTGCTCTCGGCCCCGCTGTTGTCTCAAACACGTTTGGCAGGGATGAGGGACAGGGCCTTCTCGGTGGTAGCCCCCCACCTGTGGAATACGCTTCCTGGGGAAATTAGATCATCATCATCCCTCCTCACCTTCAGGAAGAAGGTAAAATCGTTGTTGTGGGACCAGGCCTTCAGGCAATCAGGTTAAAGGACAATGGATAACATTTGACTATGGCTTGGAAGTGGATTTGGATAAGTGAAGCGGAGTAATCATTAGTATATGGCTAGATAGCCACCAGACTGGCATCTGTACACTGTATACTGTATTGTCGAAGGCTTTCATGGTCGGAATCACTGGGTTGTTGTAGGTTTTTTCGGGCTATATGGCCATGTTCTAGAGGCATTCTCTCCTGACGTTTCGCCTGCATCTATGGCAAGCATCCTCACTACCTCTGAGGATGCTTGCCATAGATGCAGGCGAAATGTCAGGAGAGAATGCCTCTAGAACATGGCCATATAGCCCAAAAAAACCTACAACAAACCCGTAAATATACTGTTTAATTTTAATGTTCATGGTTTTAATTGTTATTTTTGTTATTGTATTTTATGAAGCGGCATTGAATTGTTGCCAATTGTAAGCCGCCCTGAGTCCCCCCAGGGATTGAGAAGGGTGGGGTAAAAATGTCCGAAATAAATAAATAAATAAACAACCTGAGGTGTGTTTACACTGTAGAATTACTGCAGTTTGACACCACTTTAACTACAACTCCTAAGATTCAATAGCAATGAACTAGAGCAGTTGCTGTGGAGCAAAGATGTGTTAATCTTACAGTGTAGATTTACCCCATAACTCCTAGTAGGCTTCCAGATGTTTGCTTTTCCATCGGGCTGTCCTGCACATAGCCAGAGCTTGGGAACTACAACTCCCATATGCAGCCTGGACAGAACATTAGAGAGGTGGATTCCACATATATATTTTTTCTCATGAGAACATGAACTGGGGGGAAAAGTATAGAATTATTCTTAAAATAGGGAAGAGGGAAGTTTATTTAGCCTTTTCCTCCCCTTTTAATATCACCAGAATTGTGCAACACTCCAAGTCTGAAATCATTGCACAAGTTTTATATGCAACTGCATCAAAATAGAAGGAAAAAAACAGGAAGCTCTTGTTTCAAAATGAATGCAAAGCCAAATGCAACAAACAAAGCCTTCTTTCTCTCTCATTCTATTAAAAGATAGGTCAGAAGCCAAAGCAAGAGACAGATGTTTGTATAATTTCAATTGCAGGGTGATTTAAAAAATGGTGATTGTAACAAAATGAACGTAATATATCATTTTATAGATTGTTGATATTGTGTATCAGGCTAATTTACTTGTGTCATAATCCTGGCATTCCTCCTAAAGCAGTGAAACAACAACAACATCAATAATAACAATTATTATTATAATTATTTGAGACACAACAAGATGAGTCCACAGCAAACAAGATCACTCTGCTGACTGTTGTATTGGATCACATGTCGGACACTTCCAAGTGTCTAGGACTGTGTGATATATTGGCGAATAATGCATGCAGATCCCAGTAGGGTGGCCTTCTGCAGCTGGCAGATGGTCATTTTGTCAGCGCCGGTTGTGTTTAAGTGCAGGTCAAGGTCTTTAGGCACTGCACCCAGTGTGGCGATCATCACTGGGACCACCTTCACTGGTTTGTGTCGGAGTCTTTGCAGTTCGATCTTTAAATCCTCATATTGTGTCAGCTTTTCCAGTTGTTTCTCTTCAATCCTGCTGTCACCTGGGATTGCAACATCGACAATCCATACTTTGTTTTTTAACACTATTGTGAAGTCAGGAGTATTGTGCTCCAGAACTCTGTCTGTCTGAATTCGGAAGTCCCAGAGGAGTTTGTTCATTCTCTGTAACTTTTTCCGGCTTGTGATCCCACCAGTTCTTTGTCGCAGGCAGGGGTGGCTCGTCCATTACACAAAGTAAGCGGTCGCAGAACACTTTTTTTTGCCAGGGGCGCAGAGGTGCTTCTGTAAATGCCCCTCGACCGCCACTCGAGGAGCGCCCCCTCAGCTCACAACAGCCCTAGCAGTCCGGGGGGAGCCTCGGCTTTCTTTTCCTCGCTGCCGGGCGATCCTCTTCCCAAAGGGGCCGGGCCCTTGAGCCTCGCCTAGCCCCTCTCGTTC